CCCCAAAACCCCAAAACCCCAAAACCCCTAATTTTAATTTTTATGTTGAAAATGTTAATTTGAACTTTTTTGGATATTTTTGATTTATTAAGAAGTTTTGGAGAGTAGCAGAGTTTTGGAATCGGCTGTTGTGTCAGTGTTGGGGGGAGTTGGATGGGAGCATGGGAGTTCAAGGTTGGAAGAAGGGTTTTTGGAGGGTTTTTTAGGGAAGAGAATGTACTTTTCAAGGTTCATGAAAGGGACTTCGCAGATTAGAGTGAGAGGGATAGCTACTATGAATGATACTGCAATGGCTCCGATGGTGAAGAATATTTGGCTTATTGTATCCACGTAGATACTTGCTCTTACGTTATTAACTAGTTGAGCAAGAACAACAGATTGGATTAGGTAGACAACATAGTTAAGTCTGGCAAGTATTGCAAATGATTCTGCTCCGAGGAACCCTCTAATCACTCTCAATCTTCCTACAAATGTAGGAGCAATGATCAAACCTACTCCAGCTACGAAAAATGGCCTTGATGTTAGATTATGAAAGAATGAGAGTGACAATGGCCAGCAATTAGTTTCTTCCAAGTCTCTGCAATATCTTGTGTAAGCAGCTAATGGAAATACGTACAAAGATGTCAGTCCAATTCCAAAGCAACATACAACTAGAGAAATTACTCTAGAGTTTTTAAGAACTAAGTAACACTTATTTGAGAAAGATCTTGAAAGCTCTTGGTATTTTTCTCTTCAAGACAGTTCAAAATATGAAATACCAAACATAGCTCCAACGAAGTAAGCTCCCATTCGACTCCAAGGCTTATTATACATAAGATCCCCAACATTAGTCTTCTTCGAAGATTTCCAGTCCATCGACAAATCCCAGACTAGGGTAAGAATTCCATTAATCAGCATTGAAATCGTTATCAAAGATACAACCAATAATTTTCCTATTCTTCTGTTCTTGCAATAAAGAATTATCAGAGGAGGACTCATTATAAAGAACTGCATGTCTCACATAAGATACCAAAGCCAGCCAAGGCATGAGTCTGCCATTTTCCAAGGATAGAAGTTCGCAATGAACAAGAAGTTAGACCAAGGATTTTGGAAGCATAACTTTGTTCTCCAACCCCAGGATACTCTAAATAAGTTGTAAAAATTAAAGCCTTGAAAAAGCTTGATAAAAATAATCTAATCTATTTGTCATAGAAAATTCTGTTTAGAACATAATGACGTAACATGGTAAATACTTACTTGTAAAGAGGGCCTGAACCGAGATGCTCCATCACGTACATGACTAGAAATTGGACAAACACCAAAGGGAATATCAACCTGTAATATCTATGAAAATAGACCAGAAAAGTATCATATATACCAATTCCTCTTTTTGGATATATTTTGTAAATAAGTAGTGCGAACGTGAGAAATCCTGATAAGAAGAAAAAGGTGTCGACAGCATAGTACCCTCCGGGAACAATTGAGAATAAATCACTATCATAGAGTGCGCTTGCAGATTGATCGTTTGTAGTAGCAGCCATCCCTAAAAATGAGAATGAGTGCCCAAGGATAACCCAGATTATGCTCATGACTCTGACTCCGTTTAAAACACTCAAAGATTTATCTCCTCCTGAGCTGATTGTGAATAACTTTTGAAGGTTTATGATTGGATTGAAAGAATGGAAAGCTAATGCCCATTTAGTTTTCCTTTCTTCAACCTTTCGTGATCTGATGTTAGAATTATCTCCAATATTTGTATAAGAGATTAGCATTCCAATGAACCAGAATAATATGATGACTCCAGTTACCGCTCAAAAAATGATACCTCCAGTTGCCATCGGCTTTGCAGCCTCCTCTCTTGGAATAACAAATCTCGTATTTACACGATTGTATGGAATAAATGGTTTAACTTTATCCAAAAGAAATTGAGATAAGCTTTCAAAGTGTTCTTCCGAGTTTCATTCCTTTGGAGAGCAAATCCCCAATCTCAAAATTGGATTCTCATAATAAACAGTCTCAAAAATCAATACGACATAATCAAGCCCATCTGCATCACATGCATCATAATTTCCAAGCTGATTAGGTCCTTTGCCCGTATTTAAAAACATTTGAGTAAGATCTTTGAACCCCTCAGGAGCAAAGACTTTCCTCATGCGTTCCAGACAGCTGTTATCTTCATCGATGTCTCTACTCTCTTCTGTTCATATCACCTTATTGCTTAGAAGTAGAAGAACTACGAACACTAAAAGTTTTAAAGCATTCATATCTAATAACTATAAATATTCTATCTTGAGGAGATAAATAGGGGTTTTGGGGTTTTGGGGTTTTGGGG